CGCCAAACGGCGCCGGCCAAAACCCAATGTCGCAGAATATGAGCATACCCTCGGATACAGCTCGGCGAGCTGATTCTAGCCATATATGGGTATCCATACAAAAAGTCAACAGGAACAGCTCTATAAAGAAAAAACGAAAAAAAACGCGGATCGGCGTTTTTTTCGTAATTTTTTGAACACTTACGGCGGTACTGTAGCGCGGCATGAATTGTCAGCGCAGTCAAGACGCCCTTTTCCACCAATGACAATCTGAGCCGGATAGAGCTGATAAGAAATCTGATCTTTAGCGCTCCAAGCGCTCAGTCTCACGCCCTACCATTCACAAGGATCATGACTGTATCAGCTCACGTTTCTGACCACCGTTCCGGGCAGACCTGTGAAAAATACGAAAAAATAAGTATCGAAACCGATACTTAATTATTATGCTCAAAGCTGTTTTATAGTAGGATTTTCATCGAAAGTCGAAAACTATTTAAAGGTTAAAAGATGGCGACTCACGTGAAACCAGACGGTGAGGCCTCCCGGCTTTGTGCCAGACCAGAAATCCCTGAGGAATCGCGCAAACATCATGCCGGTTGGGACGAAGAACAACCACGAGAGTACCATCAAGATAGCTGAGAAGATAAGAAGATAGAATAAGTTGGACATTTCAAGGTAAAGTTTATTCGAGTCCCGAGTATTCAATAAGGCAATGAGCAAACAAAAAAATGTGGCTACCGACTAGGAGATCCGAAGCGCACACGTGTTATTGTGCCCCTGCTAGGGCAGTGTTCGACTAAGAGAGGAGAGGGGTGGCATCTCAGTACCTCTTATCAACATGAAGTCCGTAAGCTCCCGTCAAGCTACGAACCAGCCGTCTGCGAAATTCGCACAGGCCATCTTGTGAAGGCCTCGAACTCCTGTAAAGCTAAGACAGCCATGAAGTCATGAAGCTGCTATTCCGTACGCCTACAAAAATTTACAGGTCTCATCAAACTGGCTCAGCGGAATTTATTTCATTTCGCAGCTTCGCAAGGATTTACAGTTCTCACCCAGGTGGGAAACGGAGAGCAGTCAGTGTCGGTGAACAATAATGGTAAGCCCTATTCACCAAAAGAGACGGAGGGGCGGCGTCCCTGCTCGCTGGAGATGAAAGTCGTATACGGCCTTAATGGAAATTGTTTTCTTAATTTTACCACTCCCGCTGAATACATCTTGATCATGGTCATACACGGTTGTGAGGTCTCGCGGAAGCGTGAAAGTGGAATATAAGGGAGACTCACCATGCGCTTTATTCAGTTTTCTTCTCACAGTAATATCCAGCCCATCGGATGTGATGACTGGCTTGACGGAGTCCAACAAAAGTGGCGATGATGTGTGGGACCTCAATTACTGTCCTTGTACCTGGAAGTGAAGCAATATGAGATTTGTGCAGCAAATGGAAAGCTACACACTGTTGAATTTAGACCATTAGTTGAGGACAAACTGTACACTCATCTTCGTGGATCCTAATCCGTTTAATGCGCGCTATTGCAGTAGCCTGCTACTTTCTTCGCTCAAGGGTGCACGGCAACGGGATTGAGGGGGGGGGGGGAGAGGCGCCACCCACAACTGCTGACGCCAGCCACCGCTCAACCGTAGCCTACGGCTTGCGGCTCGTTATTTTCGTTGAAAAGTTGAGAGAGCGGCATCTAGGATAGAGTACACTACTCGTCAGCCTCTTTTCTGTGCAGGCGGTTTTGAGCGGAGAAAGTTGCACGCTACTCAACTGTGGACCCACTCATTCGCTTATGGAAAGGATGGCACCGAGCGGCCGTGCCGTTTGCCTTCAAGGCCGTAACATTCACGGCTTATTTGTGTTATACTTCGCCTATCCTTTTTACCAGCATGAATGGGTGACAGTGCAAGAATTAGCACAGTCAACCGCGTTTTCGCCAAGTTTCTTCAGGTAGCCGACTCACTCTTCTAACAAGGTGAACTCTAACCAGGGTACAGCATCGTTGTGCGAAACCCATAGGGGGGTCGTACTTGGCCGCTGGGGAGGGGGGGGGTCGTAATCTCAAGGGTCACTCAGAGCCGAGCAATGCTTCGACATTTCAGTTGATAGTGGGAGTGGAGCTATGGAAGTCAAGATGTTAAAAAAATGAAGTTTATTATGAGTGTATTTACAGCTTTAAATGCTGCGTTCAACAGCCCTCTTTTCAAGGGAAATCCTCCAAGAATGGGTTCGTACTTGGCCGCGGGGGACGTGGGGAGTATCGCAAAAGTAGGCTCGCTAGGCATCAAACAGTACAAAGGTGTCATTGCTAAGGGTAATGGAACGGACGGAAAGCTTCAGAAGACCCGGATGTAAATAGGAATACAAAATAATAAAAGATTTATTAGCAATATAGCAAGAATAAATAAATAAGTGTCAGTTTATAGCATGAACTCGTAAGTACGTAGACGACTAAATAATACGTCTCAAACAGATTCGTGCGTGTTGGCCTTTAAGCCAAACGGCCCTACTAACACAAACATCTGCTTGCATGGATAAAAGCACCTGAAATTAGAATTTACACCTTTCCACCACCTCTCCGTAGGAGCCTAATGCACGGCGCACGGACCAAACCGATTAGTGATAGCCGAGCTCCTCTTCCACTCATTTGAAGGGAAATATGTATTTTGGAGGCACACTGAAAGGTGTATCCTCACAATGGCACATAAGGAGTCAATTTTTCGGGTGGTCCAGGGGGTAGCGCAAGGGTAACCCATCTAAAAATATCTCCTGAACTAGTGGGTCTTCAGAAAAACCGTGAAGCTTGTTGGAAAGAGAAAGGATGGAGGGGTTTCAGGACGTTTTTAATCCTGATGAAATTGCGTTTGAACGAAGCAATCCTCGCGTGAAGCATGGAAACCAGCTCGCGATTACCCCGCAGCCTAATTACCAATAACGCATCACCGCGGAATATTAAAAGTCACCGGACAACGGGGGGGATCTGTTAAGCGGAGGTAAGGCGGGGGTTTTGCAACTAAGTAGAATACACAACAGTAGAAACTTTGCCGTTGCATGCTGCTCACCATTCCTCAAAAGCTCCGCACCTAAAAAAGATATAACCCCCCGAACAGACCCCAGGACGTTGGCAAGTCCAACAACCGCGCTCCAATGACGTTTTTCCAAAGAAAGCGGTCGCAGCCTTGCGCCCTGCAGCCTGATCGATAATAGCCAAGTATGGAACGATTTACTGCCGGCCTGGTTATCCTTTTTTCATTTAGCTCTGCATTTTTTGTATTTTCCATGTTTCGCTTTGTTGTGTCGTGCATGTTTTCATTATTTCCCCGTCACCATTCATTGAATGCACATCTGGGCCCTCACGCTCACCTTGGGGCTATTTTTTTCACCAGTTCAGCCTATCAATGATCACCATTAACCGCTATTTCAATTGTGTTTCTTTTACAAGTTGCATGTCATACATAGTTATCGAACGAGGAGTTTTATTTTGAATCCTAAGACAAAATTGTAGGTAATGCGAGGCTGTTGTTCAGCCTCATATTGCATGAGGCTGAAACAGCCTTTTATTTCCTGTATTTTAGAGCAGAGTGCGCCTTTCGAGAATCCAGATTCCATTTCAGGAAGTCATTTGTGGTGAACATGCATCTGGTTGTCAGTTAGAGCAGGAGGGGGGGGGTAGGTGGTCTGGACCCTCTCTAGGGGGGGTCGAGTACCCACAGCCGTCATTTGAACATGCCCATGCTGTACCCTGACCTAAGCCGGTTTCGGTGAAATAACATACAAGTCTTACCAAACCGTTCACTGAGCCCCAAAAACTTCCTTTTATCGAGCGCTAAAACTCGATTCAAGGCTCACGCCGGATTTCTTAGAGTGCAACGTTTCCCAGTTGCATTTACTCGGGAGGCATCCGATAAATGCTGAACACACGTTCTGGACGTTCTGTCAAATGGCATAAAAAATTCGAGTCAAGAAGTCTTCAAGATGACCGACAGGCCACCAAACTGTAGTGTGGATGATATCGTCGCATTCATAGGCAGGGCCAGGAAAGTCGGAATGAGCCTACCTCCTGCTCCCTCGTTTAATCGGATAGTGATCGATTTACACTTGTAGTCGAAACACCGCAAGTGAGCTCATTCCATGCCTCGCGACCCGCCTCGAGTGATAGCGGCTAGACCAGTTGCGCCGGATAAAATGCACGAAATCGGACCCGAATTACATGCTTAATTAGCGGGCCTTTTGCCATGACACCATCGTGCCATCCTTGACTTCCACTGTATGATATACTGATTGCACGTAGAAATGTTTTCCTCACGAAGTTCTTCTTCCGAATGTCCGTTTTCTAGATTCTTCGTTTTCTGAATTCAGTTCGCTCCACATGGATAAGGTGCTGCCCCACCAGTGAAACATACAAATCCTTACTATTATTCCACATTATTTGTTCCCCCCGAGTTCCAAAATTTTCAGCACTTGGTGTATTTTGAAAAAACAAAATGACCTATATTCAATATAATGCAAATGTTTAGATGCTCACCCGCCATTCACCATAGTGTTTCGCTGAAAGTGAGCGTGATCACGTAACTCTTTGTGACGGGCTATAGTTCAAGAACTGAAAACTAGAAAAGATTAGTCTTACAATATCCGAAATATTTAATAAAATCAATCGTAGACACAGCTAAATTTGCAAGAAAGATATTAGAGATGCATTAGGCAGTGTTCGCTTCAGAAAGAGCATGGGCACTTTTGCTAGCTCTACTTGTTAGTTAATGTTGGAAAAGAGCAGGACCTCTTAACAACTGGGAAGCTGGGACTAGTGCGAATAAACACCCCGATCGCATGAGATTGCAGGTCCTTACAAGGTCTTCTGTGCAATTCTAGCTGAGTACCACTCAATGCCCCACCGAGCCAAACTGCTCGGAATTGGTAACCACCATAGGAATTTTCTCAGCAGTTGTTCGTCGATGAAATATAGATGAATAAAAAACTTCTGGACATTTGGCTTCATGGATGGCTTCCAGCCCTGCTTGAAATCTCACCTCTGGACTATTTTGAGCGGTAGCAGCAGCTCGCGGCACTGGCAGTAACTAGTTGTGTCGTTTTGCAGCATTGTTCTCACGTCACTGAGGTACTGTTGTCGAAACGCCTAAAATGTTTTTCAAATAGTGGCGAAGGGCCAATCTGGCCTTGAATTAGAGGGAACCACGTCTGAATGGAGGCTTTTTTCTGAATTTCGGTGTTCAATGAGTGCATCGAGTTAATAAATGAATCAATGAGTAAATAAAATAACTTATTCAACGAATGCTGTAAGGATTCCGCTACAATAAATTAGGCACCGGAGCGAATCTGGAAAAAAGGTGCTGGGTACCCCCTGGGGCTTTTTAGGTTTTTTCAGGCCTTTTAGTTTGAAGCCACTGATGTGTGGGTGATTGTTAGAAAGGCGAAACTATGAAATTGTATTCATTTTGAAAATGCTCTGTTGATGCCAGTAGGCCAGTTCGGAGCGGATATTCGAGGCGAATATTATAAGCGGGGGCAGCAGGGCACATCATTGGTTGGGGATTTTAGTTGAGTCTGTACGACCTCCCCTTCTTTTTTGGGGGGTTGGTACGAACCCTCCGCCCCCTCCCATAGCCGCCTCCTGTTCTGCTTTACTCATCCGAAGTTGACGGCCGTACGAGCCGCGAGAGGGGGGGGGAGGAGGTTAATAGCACATGTTTTGAGCCGTCGAGCCGGAGGGGAGGGGGGTAAATAGCACATGTGAAACAGGAAAAGTCGCGAGACAATCTCGACCCCCTCTAACAATTTTCAGATTTTCCCCAACTTCGTGCCACTTTTTTTCCAAGATTTCCCCGAAAAGTTCCTACTTTTCCCAAAAAATTAAAAAAAATTTTCCTACCGAGTAGGCGTGGGGGGAGGTGGTATATATTAGGTATGATATACGAAAATCACGAAAAGCCAGCCACCATTCCTAGAAGGCCAGGAAGTAAATACGACCTCCCCTTCCCAACAGAGCTAAGTACGACCCCCCCTTACAACGTCCGTGAAGCGAGAAAAATCAACTATCAAAATAAATTTTTCCTCAGCCCAAATACGACCCCCTCTCCTGGCGGCCAAATACGACCCCCCCCCCTATTGGGGATTCCCCAACAACGACGTGCCCTGGAGGGCCGATGACGTGAGGTTTGCACATGGCGCCCAATCAATTCGAGCTTAATCCTTCCTGACATGAACCGCACGGCTGAAACGGAGCATTCACTCCACAAGCCCAAGGACCCACAAGGACAAGGAGTCCAAGTAACCCAGCCCAAAAAGAGGCGGAATATCTAATGAAACAACTGGCGAAAGCTGCTGACAATGAGTCGCTCATCATTGTAACGGTTATTGTTTTTTATGCAAACAGCTTTAACACTTACTAAAAATCCGGGATTTTGCAGTTTTTGCAGATTGTCGTCTATATCCGGAACGCGAAGAACCGGTGGTTGTCCATTGACAGCCAAGCACTCAAGCGACGGCTGAAACAAAGACAGATTAGAAACCTGATGGTTCAAAAATTTGCCGACTATTCAGAAAAGATCTGATGAAGAAAAGCGGTCACTTAAAAAGAAAAATTTCGTCTGTATTTCACTGCGTAACGAACAAGTGCATTAATTCACAAGTCCGGCTTTGAATCTCCTCCGAAATCAGGGAGAGCGCTCTGCTGATATCCAACCTCAATGTGCTATAGGCCTTATTTGGGGAACTCCTACTTACGGGCAAAAACATTGCTAGTGGAAGGAAAGTGGTCAAACAGGGTGCTCCGTCGGATATGCAGATTGGCGTTTCAGTACCACTCCCCTATCGAAGAAAAGGTCACGTACTCCATCTTTGAACTTGAATACCGTCTTACCCAAATGTTCGCCAAACGCTGTCCTGGAGAGAGTGGGGGTAATAAACAACAATAAAGGAAGAGTTGCGGGCACCCTACTGCCTCGGCATCGGCGGTGACCGTGGATCCCGCTGCCCATCGCTCTCCCATACCCCTCCTGCGCACCCGCGCAGGAAGGGTGGACCTAACCCCCGGGGACCATGGGGTTTTCCTACGGCGGGCACCTTACCGACCCCCCCCTACCGTCCGACGGCCTCCACCGTACCGCGCCGCAAGAGTCCACGCCTTTACCCCCTTATAGCAACCACCATGGTACCACCATGGCAACAACACCAACAACTAGGAACACAGGTAAATCCCGTGGTATAAACCATTATATTAACAAAGAGAACATTTAATAGACTACATCATTTATTATACGAACTACTCATCGCACTACAAGAAATTGTTCTCTTTCTGGCCGCTGTGGCCATTGCCCCTGTGGCGTACGCCAATAGCCTGCTCGGCTTCATTCCCTGTCTTACGCATTTACTGCTTCCATTCCTGCGGCGTACTCCTCATCGCTCCATGCGGTCGTCGATGTCCTCATCGGGCTGGAGTAGAGGCTGCTGCCAGTCGGGGAGCAGGGGATGGACATCGGCCAGCTTATGGCGGAGCGTTTCGGGCTACGCTCCAGCTTCGGAGTGGACTTCGCCCCGAGCCTTTAGCGCTGTCACCGCGTTACCCGGTGAAAACCGACCGGCACCGGCTGCCAGCCGTGGAGCGTAATTACCAGTCTGCACTCGAACACGCAGGGGCCGAACCACGTGCAGTTGAGTGCGCACGCCAGTGGGAACAGCAGCGCGGAATAAACCGGGGCGCGAGGTGCGCCCAAGGGCGACCGTCGCATCCGCGACAAGCAGAATTTTCTCGAGGCATAATGCGACTCCCATGGTGAGTCGATGATGATGGGGATTGCGTAACTATGACACACGCTGTGATCAGACCTTCTCGAACGCTACCACAAATGGGAAAACGATTCGAGGGAACTTTCACATCGCATTTCACACGAAATAAGTGTAAAATGATACCCCTCGTCTTCACCTCAGAGCTTCCTTAGCTTACAAACTCTGCACCATTATATCTAGCGAAGCCAAATACATGGCGGCGATTTCTCAAGAACATCTTTTGGAACCTCTTACCGTTTGGCCGTTGTTAGCGAAGGTAACGGCAACGAATCTATTTGTGCCTGTTGCTGGTCCAGCTAATTCCACATCTATGAAGCTCGGAGATATCACGCGATAGGAGAAAGCCATTCCATCGTCATAGGTCAAACAACCCTTCGTTTCACCACACGATGACGCATCAAAGATAGATGATGCTAAGACCTGCAAACCAGAATCTCATCTGCATGCCTTTCCTTATATGGCAAGAAGAAGGTAAGAAATCTTTCATCAAGAAAAATAGGCAAATATTTCACTCGAGTCAGTCGTAACTAGCCTGTGAGTACATGTGTCTGTGTCCCCATATGGAAATAGGGAGTGAGTTAAAGAATCGCTCCAAGTGAAAGGGACAAGGTTGGGATGGGTGGAACACCGGTTACGATGTACAGTCATGATCCCTGTAAACGATAGGGCGTGTGACGCGGTGCGTACTGGAACGCAGCAGGCGGACTTGTTCCAACAATGATACCATCTGGACTCTACTAAATTCGAAGGAAAACCTGCCTTGGCAAGCCATGCTCCCGAACACGCCCTATCCCTGGCAGGGATTATGACTGTTTATACCAAACTGAAGTTATCCATTCCTACCCAAGCGGTGCTTGCACCGAATTCCGATCGCTGACGAAAATTCTGAAATTATTCCAGAATAACCCAGACCGGGAAAATCAGTGGAGGTCAACGACAGGCTGGCAGACGAGATAAAATCCAACACCTTGGAACCCCAATCGAAAAGGGCTGGTTTTCGCGCTTTCAAAACAAGAGTAGACATTGTTTTAGTATGATGATTGTTGTTTAAAGCCAGCAGTTCACTCTACACGTGGTTAAACGTGTGAGTGCTGTAAGGCTACGGCACTAAATGCCACTGAGCTGAGAGGCCAAGATGGACCCGGTAGCGTAATGGATA